TATAACGTATGATTTTCAGAGGAAAATAGGCAAACTGACCTTCGTTACAATGTACAGCCTCATCTTCCGAGCGCGCGCACAATTCAGAATTGGCTGTTGCCGGCCATCTACATCGCTTAGCAACGCCTAACTGTATGAACCTATCCTCACGAAGCATTCCACGCCGGCCGGACTCCTTGCATGCAGCCCCCGTTTTTTCATGGTTTTGCATGGTGTCATGCTGCCGCATATCAAGCAAGATGCCTGCTAAAAGGAAACAGATTTTGCTGACCGACAAGGTGGAAATAATTCAGAATTATCGTAAAGGGGTTTCGCAAACAAAACTAAGCGAGGATAATGGATTGGCGAGGAGTACAATCTCCACAATCATACATAACGCAAACAAGATCATGTGGTTATTGGGTAATTGTGTGACATATAGTGAAAGAAATTAACAAAAGACAGGTGTTTAACACATGTATCGAAATTTATTTCAGCCAATTGAATCATACAGGTGCATAATTTCGGTTTGACATTAGGTTCTAGTAAGGCGATTTGAACGATAAGCCGGCAGTGGATTTTGCGTTTTGTCGGCTGTCTATGAGTAACTGATATTAACCTAGTTTGAAGAATATAGTTCCTATTCAGAATAGGAACTATATTCTTCAAACTACACAAGCTGTATGTCATAGTGTCAACTTGAGGGGTGTTTTATAAAAGTTTTTTTATATACATTTTGTGTTCTATCATTCATTTTGAGGGACTTGGTTACAACGTACTATGGTTATAACTTACAAATTCTTAATGTCCCCCGAGGTACGTCGTAACGAAGTTCGACTGTACCTTACTTTTGGTATGGTACTTTCGGTACTTTCCCTTTTCCATTGACTTCCGGTCGAGTTCCAGTACCAAAGGTTCCAATACCTAAAGTACCAAACCAGCTGGGGTACTTATTTAGTACTTTGGTACTTTGGGGTGGGACACTTTTTTTGTTGATTGGTTATGCAAATAGCTTGCTGCTGGAACACAATACAAACACCGCCTTAAAAACAGTTGTGAACTCAGAAAACAACGATAAACAAAGAAAAAAAATTGCCATCTGGTCAGAAGAACAGATACAACAAAAGGATCTGGATGGCAGGAAAATAAATCTTAAAAGTATTTTGTTTAATATAGCGATGTCATTGTGTTATAATAAATATAGGGGTATTTATGAAACAAAAAAGGAGTTCATAAATTTCTCACACACCCATCTTGCAGTGATTTAAACAGCAAGGAAGAAAATTATTATGATTGTCTAGGAGAACGCATTCAGCGCTCATGCAAAAGCATTGTAAAGGACTTTGCCTTTTTGTATATTTTTATTATTCATTTCTGATGATCATTTAAAATGTATGTGTTTTTTTTGTATGGGCGTGTGTAGGATTATACACCAATGAATATAAAATGATATACTGCCTCAACTCCCACGCTGGAGAATCACTGTAGGCCCACGATTAATATGGCTGTAAATCATCCTAATTACTGTAACTACAAAATGATTACAACATGTAGTTAGTATTTTAATAACCAATGGTTAATAAATATTAATATGCCTCTACCTCTGTAATAAAGTTTGCCTATGAATGTATTTACTGTATACTGTTTGGCTTTTCTGTGGCGGTCTGTCTGAGCAGAGGATAGCCACTTCCTGTTTGCTGTGAATGGTAACCATATCCTTAATGTAAATATGCTAATTCTGACCTTCAGAGGAGCCCTCTGCACTCTCCCTTGGGAGGGGTACTGCTATCTGTAGGGGTTAATCAATCACCTCTGATTTGCATATGATTTGAATTGTATCAAAATACTAATTAATATGTAAATTTGCCATCACGGTAATCCTTTCATTGCACCAGGGGTCCGGCCATCTTTTTAATTCTCTATCCAAACAGTCTGTTTACAATTCCCCTGGGCGGCATCCATAAAGAAAAAAGACCTAATGAGAGAATTCCTGTTGTTTGAATATTGCGACTGACTTTTCTGGAAGAGAGGCATGGATTCAATGAGAGGGAAAGTGTGTTATGGCGCCTGCCGCAGCCCAGTGGAAGGAAGAGGCCCTTGGATTGACTTTGACTCAGAGACGGAGATGTGGGGGGGGGCTGTGTAGACCCTGAGATGGGTGTTATCACCGAGGATGTTAGCAGTGATGGATCTCTGCCTATCCCAGGGCCCGTTCTCTGCCGGATTGGCTGTCAGCATTTCTCGCCGAGTCAGGGGGGCCGGGGGGGGGGGGGGGGGGGGGGGGGGGGGGGGGGGGGGGGGGGGTGGGTGGAAGAGGGATTTCTTCAAAGACGTTTTGGTGCCAGCTCTGAGCTGGCTGTTTTCGGCTGAAATTCTTAACTTTCATGTCTGTGACTGAAAGCAACCATTTGCAATTGGTGAGCAGCTACTTTGATATGTGGAGAGCACAGGGAGGGATGGTCTGAGTGTAAGTCTGTAAATGGAGAGGGTCTTTGTGGGCGGCGCGTGATTTAAGGTGCTATGATTTACACGACAATCTGGTCGCCTTGGTAACACCCCCCCCCCTCCCCCTGTGCCAGGTGCCCTTTAACACCTGCCAGTTTCACTCATGTATGATTCCTAGTGTCTGCGGGGGGTGTGCATTGTGTTTTTAATGAGCCCCTCCCCCCCGTCTGTCACTGCCTCTGTGAGACTGGGTCAGGTGCCGACACAGTGTCACATAACCATCCTACTAGTGACGAGTGCTGTCATCCATTCCATTTTGACATGTAGAGGGGGTATCATTTCTGCCCCATTCTGCAATAACTGTGCTTGGAGCTAATTTAGGGGGGTAGGGGCCCCTGGGCTAAAGTCATTAGTGGGGCCCTACTTACAGCATAGAAAAAAATTGGGGCCCCTAACAACTTGGGGCACTGGGCTGTCAGAAGAGAAACATTAATATGATCACAGGCCCCTGGACTAATCGACTTGTTGGGAGGGAGTTTTTGACAATAAGATTTAAAAATTAGTTAGGCACGGGTGAGAACTCTACATTTAAAATGTTATAAAATAACGTTTGTTTAGGCTTCTTTTCAGCGGAGGCCCCTGGGCTTCAGCCTGGGTAAACCTGTGCATAAGTCCAACCTTGGTCCCACCAGTCCCACAGTGAGGTGTCTCTCTGCCTGTGTGCCTGCTGTTTTATTGATGCTAGCAGCTGAGGTGAAGTGGCCATGTGCTGCTTTGCCTTTAATAGTCCAGTCGCTCCTGCAGTCAGTGGGAGGGTGATTCCCAATTAACAAAACCTGTCAAGGGTCTCCTGTGCCGTAATTTATCTGGACTACGGCTGCTGGATTCATAGTCTTTCCCCGAGGTGCTTTTGTTGGATGATGATGTGCGGTTACAGAGTGAGATCTGCAAGGGGCACTTGTTAACTATCTCCCTGGAACGGCACTGAAAGCCGCAGCGCTAACAGATTAATGACGCCTCCCAGGGAGAGTTCACCTCGTGCTTTTTAAAGCACTGTTATTTATCACTATGCCAATTACACTAATAAGGGTTTGATTGTGAGATGCGTCTCCCCTGATCGTCAGCCATGCCTCACCCCCCCCCGTACCCCTGTACCCACACGCATGTCACCTACATCTGTGTACCCACCAGTCAAAAGTAGGCAGCTGGGTTTATGTTTACGCAGTGGTGACGCCGATGTTCTGCAGGGTTGGTCTTGTGCCGTGTCTTGGAGATTAGGCTGTGATCTGTGCTTCTCTTCTTTTTGGCAGTCAAAGGCTAATAATTACAAGCAAGAACACAGTAAAAACACATTACAGCTCATGCTGAAGAGCTGGAGATTCTGCTCCTGGTATGGATCCCTGTAGCTGCAGACAACTGCCTTGTGAGAATTGTCCATCCAGTGTTTGGAAATTTTATCAAGACAAAAATCAAGACATCGGTGTCGTTCTGTGTTACTCTTGGCTGATATTGCTGACCAATATTTAAACTTTATCAATATTCAAGCAACATCATTACGGAGCCCCCGAAGTCCCATAGAGTGATTTTTATTTTATTTTGTGCGCACAAGTTATTTTCTTCGAAGTCTGTATGACACTTCGGGGGCTCCGTACATCAGAGCTAAAGACACAGCTACTAAAATAACAGAGATGACTGCACTGGACGATCAGCCATAGTGGGATTTTGTTGGCTCATTCACCACTTACAAGAGGTCTCTTGGTACTGATATGTTTCTAATTCATTATTAAATCTGGTCCGCATATCGATCTTTCATTTTCCTCTGACAATAAACAACCATGTAACAGCATTCCGCTATATAACCTCCTGGCTCGGCAAGTTTCAGCAGCGCCCATGAGGCTCAGGGTTAACTGCTGTTTAAAGCAAGTGCCTTAAAGTTACACAAAGAAACACTGAGTAAACTGCATGTATGGTGAGACTCCGGCACCCAAGATGCATGAATGTTAAAACACTATGATGAATGTTAAAAAAAAAAAAACACACAGCCGCGTTTTATGTGTGAAATTTTCATGTAATGTTTGAAATTTGCTTTCAGAAAAGATTCCATTTCCAAAGTTTCCACATCAGCTCACCACTGCTATCTTCTGCGCCCCCAGCTCAACGAGACAGCCAAGCAGCTGATAGAGATGGACAAGCCGAACGGCGTGTCCGGGTTCAGTGCCGATCCCGGCCTGACGGCAGGTCTGAGTCCGGGGCTCAGCTCCACACCGAATGGCGGCGGGCCGGCCAGCGCCATCAACCGCCGCATCGACGGCAAGAAGAACGCCAAGAAGAGGCATTCATTTACGGGGTTGAGCATCACCCAGCGCACCGCCCAGGCGCTTTGCAGCCGGCACTCCATGGAGATCAGCGCGCCCGTGCTTATCAGTGCGTCGGACCCCCGCGCCGCCGCCCGCATCGCCGACTGCCCCCACCTGTCCTCCAGCGCCCCCTCACAGGTAGGCCGGCCTTTAGTCTCTTATGCACACGTGATGGGCCCCCCCGTGAGCGATTCTGCCCGGTGTGATGAATGTACTCCCGCGGTCACAGAGGGCTGGCTTTAATCCGATTCTTCTTGTCGCCACGTTCTTCCGTATACAAGCGTACATTTGTTTTGTTTTGTCTCAGAGAAAACAAAATGAAGAGGCCATAATGACGTGGATTTGTTTGTATGTAGCTGCCAGGACCTGTGAGAGATGTGCGCACGTACACACACACACACACGTATACATCAGATGACAGCATGTGGGTTATCAGTTATTGGTCGGGCATGCGTCCATTATCAGGACTTGGGATATCCAAGCCATGCAAGAGGGACCCAAGCAAGCAGGGATCGCCGTAAGGAGACACACATTCCCATGGTGCTGCCCCCCCCCCCGACATGTAGATGTTTTGTGGATGACGATGTATGACTAACGGTGTCATGTGCTGTCAGTTTTAATGAGGGCAAATCTCATTTTTAATTGACAAGAAATAGAATCCTAACTAGTTAGTACACGATAACTAATATTAATCATATCCCAGGCTAGGATTTGCATAATTATAATTCAGCGTAACAACAGGGCCGTGATTGTAAATGTCAATTAGAGCTGGAGCGCTGTACACTACACAGATGGGATGTTTGCTGTGCATAGCCTAGAAAATGACAGCCCATGCCGTTCATCCACAGAACCTTCTGGGGTTTGTCTCTGCCGGGATCGCAGACTTTCGGCAGGTCTGGTGTCTCTCCAGTCCCCCTGCCCCCCTACCTGTGCTTTATGAACTTCCCCAGCTCATACACCAGAGGCCCCGGGGCTCTGTGCTATGTGTGTTTACGCTGACGGCGGCTTACAGGTGTTGCAGACGGTCGCTGCTGTCTCTGGAGAGACGGGCGCTCCTAGAAATCGAGCTCACTGGAACTGACGTGTCCCAAATGCCGGGAGAGATGCAAGCCAGATAGTTTAGCATGTGGCGTGTGGTGCCACCACACAGAGGGTAGAGTATTTAAGGAAGCCGCAGGCAGGGTCAGCACACCATTACTTGGGTGGCCCCCTCCCAGGATCATTGATGATCATTTCACTTCCTCCACAAGGTAGGTGATTTGGGGGACCTTGGCGATTGCCTGCCTACAGCTAGAGCCCATCCCTGACCTCAGGTACCATCCTGCCCTGTGATGAGGCTGACCACAGCTTTCTTATTCCCACAGGACTCCTCTTGCTCTTTTGTTGGGACCCCCGTGGCAGCAGTGGTGGCGCCCTCTAGGGGCTCTCCTACTCCGGGGGACCTGCTGACCGCCGCAAAGGTGCAGCTGCCCCTGAACATGTGAGTGTGAAAGCTTCATCGTCACCGATGCATCCCCTGTGTCCCTTAGACAGCCGCTACACCCCCTTGGAATTTAATGTATTCTTATTTACTATCGGCTAGATATAGGGGGGGGGGGATTTCTTTAATAAACCACCTGTCTCTCATAGTTACATGACGAAAGTCTGCTGAGAAGCATAAACGTTAGCCCCTCTGCCCCCCCCCCCACACCTCCGGGCCGTCCTCGCAGTGTAACCGGGCACACCGCCACCTGCTGTACGCTCCCGTTGCCTTGGCCTCGGACGGTTCCTTTGTTTCATCTGAAGCGCCCCAGTTCTGGCTGTGTTACGTGACGTCTCTGCGCGGGAGGAGCCTGCACCCCTAACATAAACCCCGGCAGTGAGCTGTCTTTACCCAGGGAGGGGGCTCCCCTCATGGGCTCCTAGGCTGTTCAGAGGAGCTGCTGTTTGCTTTGTCTTTGATTGCAGTGTGTTCTTCTTGGTCTCTCCTCAGCTGATGTGCCATAACCTACCCCCCCCCCCTACCGTAGGCCCATCTGCTGATGCCCCCCCTCTGCCCGCAGATATCTGGCCATGTACGTCTACAGACCCCAGAAGGCCGACGAGCTGGAGCTGCGCAAGGGCGAGATGTACCGCGTCACTGAGAAGTGTCAGGACGGTTGGTTCAAGGGCACGTCGCTGCGCAGCGGCGCCTCCGGAGTCTTCCCAGGGAACTACGTCACCCCCGTGTCCAGGTATCTGGAGGTCAAACTGCAGGGCCCATTCGGGATGAGATGAAGGGGGTGGTGACCAGTGCGGATTTAAGGACAGAGCGGTAAATCCAGCACCTTAATGACGGCGTGCATGTTGCAGCAGTAAGAGCTTCGCTCCTGGGAATTAGCAAAATGCCAACTCAGGGATCTGAGCTGGGAGGGGGAAGGCAGACACATCATGGCCAGCAGTGGAGGAATGAAAGACAGGGTGACATTTTGGAGATCGGTGATAAAAAATGATGGTGGGGTGTTGGTTGTAGTTTTCCACCGGGGTGGGGGGTGACAGTGGTTTGCTATGTCGACACGTCCTCAGAAGGTGCTCCCCCTGGCAGATGCCCCTTGCCAGGGTCTGGGGGTCTTCCTGGGGTTGATAAGGGCGTGAGAGATGGCATGATGGTGTCACGCTCGTGGAGATTCTGTCCTTTATTCACTGTAGTACGACTCAGAAGCGACTGCCCAGACCTCCGCTGTGTGGCCCTTGTTAATCTGGCCCCTGTCCCCCTCCCACAGGGCCTCGTTCGCGGTGGGGCAGCCCCGCACCTGCCTTTCCGGTTCCGTCCAGGGGGGCTCCCCGGGGCACTCGTCACGCTCCCCCGCCGGCCCCTTGCCCTCCTCCTCTTGCCCTTCCTCTGCCGCATCCTCTCCACAGCTGCCCCCTGCCGCCGTTCACCTGAAGAACTGCCTGCGTGGGGTGGGGGGCGTCCAGTCGGGCACCGGACAGACGCGGCCGGGCCTGCAGCTGGGTGAGTGACTGGAGCCCATGTAGAGACGGCCCGCTCTCACCGCCAAAGGCGGCTTCTCCTTACCTAGTATAAAACCACGGCATAAACGACTATACTGTAATGTCTTTGTTGTTTTTTTAAACCATGCTAAAATAACTTTACTGTGCCTGCGGTCAGGTGCCTTAATCTTTTTTTTTTTTTTAACATTCATCATAGTGTTTTAACATTCATGCATCTTGGGTGCCGGAGTCTCACCATACATGCAGTTTACTCAGTGTTTCTTTATGTAACTTTAAGGCACTTGCTTTAAACAGCAGTTAACCCTGAGCCTCATGGGCGCTGCTGAAACTTGCCGAGCCAGGAGGTTATATAGCGGAATGCTGTTACATGGTTGTTTATTTTCAGCCAGCCTGCCCATAGCTCTGAAACAGGAGTCTTGTCCCATTGTGGGTTTCTATTTAAATCCCTTTAGAAAGAACCCTGCCATATATTTGCTGTGTTCATTCTCCTACCATGTCCTAACATTCACTTCAGTAATCGGTTCCTCTTGTTCTTTAATAATGAGCTGATTATTATGCCCAACATTTCTTACTTAGGGTGGGTTAGTGCACCCAGATAGTATTAAAATAAGGGGGGGTAATTGCCGACTGCCGTTGAAACATAAGGAGCAAGGCTCTCTATGGATGGATTTCCTCCTTGGCTCGTGGCAGCGTCTTCAGGACAGTGGTCGTGTTTCGGCAGCTGACCCTGGATTGACCTCAGCCCGCTGCATCGTGTTCCAACCAAACATTAATTTCTTAATGAAGGAGCTGCTTGTGCGCTGCTGGCAGGGTCCCCCTGGATTTCCTGGCTGGCAGGCGGTTGGCCCAGATGGGCCCGCTGCTGTCCGGCCCAGTGAATCGGGTGCAGTGTTGCGAGCCCAGCAGGATGGAGGCCTCCCCCCCTACCCTGGCCCTCTGCCAGCGCTACCTTCAAGCGCGCCATTTGGAGGCAGGCCAGGGTGCTCGCTGGCCTTCAGACGCTATAAAGCGGTACCTCCCCACCCTCGTCTGTCTGGCCCCCTTTGCGATCTCTGCCAGACCGTCTGCCCGTTGCGCTGCGCCCTCTGCTGGACACCCTTCAGGCAGGTCCTGGCTTAGAGCAGGCGTGGGTAAGGGAATGGTAGACAGGCAAGCTTAGTGTTCAAAGAGGTATTTTTCAACTGGTCCATCTACAGAACAGCAGATAACTCAGATAAAAATATCAAATAATACAGACACTTCTCACTTAACGACCCACCCGTTTAACGACTGGTGGACTTACAGTACGACAGGCTCTCCAACCAGTCAGTATCATACGCCGTACAAGAACTTTGGCCATGGAAACGGCAGCGTGGCATCTCAGCATCAAGATATTATGCAGATTAAAACAAAGTTATCAAGTTGGAGTATCTTTTAGACCTTTATTCAGAATAAATAAAGACGATTACCGGAATTTACTCTATACAAACCTAAGTAATATACTGTATATTAGAGCTGATTTCCTCTATTCTGTTTATTACAGTATACAGTACACTACTGTATAAACATTTATAAATATACTAAAAATGTTATAAATGCTTGAAATATCGCTAAGGCGCAGCCACTCACTTATCGACCAATCCGCTTAACGACCTAGTCCTGGGAACTCGGTCATTAAGTGAGGAGTGTCTGTAATTATCCTGTCATTACAAATTCTAATGCTGCTGTCAGAAATATTAATTCGGAGCATATTTTAAATCTCATTTTAAAATGAGTAAGTGATTTGTTTATGTCATCCTTTATGAAGGATGAGAATATATTTAGTTAGTTAAGCCACATTAATACTGTAACATAGCCAGGACAATGTCTGTACCATTCCTCAGAGGTGCTATGATCAGGTCCAGGAAATAACTACACCTCACTGTGCGTGATAAACGCAGTCTGTGCCTAAGGCTCCCAGCTCGATGCCCACAGTTTGAAAGGTTAATGTGGAGTCATATGTTAACAGCAGGTGATCTGCGGAGTCTTGTTAAAACGTTTTACAGCCCAGATAAGTAGCCCTGGAGTAATGAAAGGTCTGTCGGGGTAGGGGGCAGTAATTACAGCCGGCGTCCCTCTGGGTACCAGGTTGTGCCGGACCCCAGCGGCTGAATTCAAATTCACATAACTTTATTTGTCCCCGAGGGGCAATTAAAGGCACACAGGACAGTTGAACAAGGACAGGACACAATGACATAAAGTGAAACAGTATTTGAAAGATGCTGTGCAAAATTGCAGTCAATCAGGTAGACAAGAACTGATAAATATGTAAAGGGAGGGATTGTTAGTGGGCATGGGGGGGCTCAAGTGCAGAATGACTGACGGGTTCCAGTGCAGGGAGGCAGGGGGGGGAAGAGAAGTCTGAGAATTGAGGAGTTGAATAGCCCTGGGAACAAAGGTCTCCTCCTCTGTGTCCTGCAGCCGGGACAGCGGAGCCGTCGACCTGAGGGGAACCCCCGTACTGCGGGACGGAACCCCCTGAGGGGGTACTGGTTGGGAGGACAGATTAGCTGTTCGGAAGCTGGTTGAATCACCTAATTAAAGGACAGAAGAAAGAGAATCTACCTGTTCAATGGGGGGGGGGGGCATGCTGTCAGGGGGCTTCGATATTCAGTCGGCACGTTCCAGATTTGGCAAAAGGAAAGGACAAGGTGCGGTGTTTAGAGAGTCAGTAAGAGCAGGGGGGTGATAGCGGCTGTTATCCCCGCTTGGCCACGCCCCCTCTGTGCACCTCCCTGTTAATCATACAGCGATGGCCCTCAGCCCTTGGGCCAGCTTGCACACTTGGTTCTGATTGTCCCTGGCATGCAGCTACTCACACTGGATTACATTCGCTGTAAACCTGTGTTTTTCAGCCGGCTGGTATCTCGGCATCGCGCCATGGTCTTTAAAGGTGTCTTAAAGGTGAAGTCACGGCCCTGTCTGCCCGCAGAACTCTCAGGTTGCCGTGGGCGCCCACGCCCTGCTCATCTTGCCACCAAACAGGACTCCTTTTGATGTTTCTTAAGAGCCCAGCGAGCTCAACCCCTCCCCATCCTGACATCTGTCTCTTTTTCTGTCTACCCCCTCTGCAGTACGCAGTCCCCCAGCAGGCAGCCCAGAGCGCCCCCTAGCGGCCGTGCCCCCACTGCGAGTGCAGGGCTCCCCCTCTCGCTCCCCAGGCCCATCGCCCCGCCCTCTTTCCATGCTGTCCCCCACTGCTCGCCCTGCCATCCCGCTAACCTCCGCCGCGGCCGCCATAACCCCGCCCAATGTCAGCGCCGCCCAGCTCGCCGTGAACGGCACGGCTGGCCCCCTGCAGCCCCCCTCCCCCGCTCACACCCAGGGTGCCGTGGCCAACACGCCCAAGCTCGAGGAGAAGAAGGCCGAGAAGGTGAGTCCACCCCAGAGTCCTGCCCTCCTCCTGTGCAGTATCCTACCCATAGGGTTAGGTTAACCCTAACCCTAACCCTAACCCCCCCATGTCTTTCCTGTCCTGTCTTGTGGCTCTTTTCCACTGCCAGCTAACGGTTATCCGGAACTTTCCAACCTCCTACTTAAAAAATTACTATAGAACAGCTTAGCGCAATGGATTTGTATTGAAAATTTACACAGGCTAGCATTTGATGCTAACATTCCACAGTGGTTCTCACAGATGCGCTAGAAAATTAGGAAATTGGCACTCAGTAAACGTCATGATGTACACCGTGTGAACAGTAAATAAGCGTCTCTTTGGGTTTACATCACTGACGCTCTCCAAACCTGGCAACGCCGTGGAAAACCACAGTGGCAGTGGAAAACCACAGTGAGCTGACACCGAGCTGGAACTAGTCTCTCTTCATTATGCGGCTCGGCTACGGCTACGGCTACCAATGAATGTTCACCCCCTGCAGTGTGGGTGTTCCCTGGTGTCATCCTGTGAATTGGCAGTACTAAGTTCCCCACAGAGTGTGAGTCAGTCTGTGTGCCCTGAGCTGGGCTGGCGTCTCATCCAGTGTGTTTCCAGTACAGGTGACAGTGAGTCTGTCCCAGCAAGGACAGGGGGCATTCTGGCCAGTCCATGACCAAAGACATTCACACACTAAGGGCAGTGATCCCAGTGCATGTTACCCCGAGGTATTGAGAGGCATCCCACACAAACCCGTACACACACAGATCCAGGGACTGGTTTCGAACCCACAGCCCTGCAGGAAGGAGGCCTGCCTTGAAGCTGCTCTGGTGACATGTCTGACTATTAAACCATCACCTAAACCAGTGGTTCCCAAACTGGGGGGCACAGAAGTATTGGGGGGGGGGGCGCACCAATTGGATAGCCTCAGGGGCAGAATAATCTCTTCACAGACAGGATGATTAAACAAATAAAGCAGCGCAACATTACAGTAACTAATAATAAATAAACCACTAACTTACGTGTACTATTATAGCATTTATGTAATTTATTTAAACTTTATTTTACCAGGTAAATTAACTGAAAACCAGTTCTCACTGCTTTACGTGATATTCGGGGGAAATAGAAGATAACGCATCGGAACTGCCTGGGATACAAACGTCACGTTCTTCAGCCAATAAGGGCAAAGTTGTGTCGTCATGGAGGCTGTTCCAGTTTGTCCAGCTGACTGAGAGGTGCTGTACGATCTGTCTTAAGTCGTCTTGTTCTTGCAAGGTTTTTGTACCATGTGACATGGTGACGCGTGACGACGTTTAAAATTTTCTACATGAAGTGTAGGGAGACTATCAATTAATGGGTATGATTTAGTATTGTTTTGTGCTATAGTATAGGCTGAAACCTGCGGTTATCATTAAAAATGCGGTAAACGTAAGACAAACTTTAATTTTTTAACATGCTGGACTTTTATTTTTTAATTGATTGCTCTTTTTTCTCCCAGTGGTGAAATTGCACCATTTGTATTTTGTAATTGCATTTGTTTCGCTCAATTAGAAAAGGGAGTTGTATTTCAAATAAAGTTTGAACCTATGTAGTTTGAATGGGGGGGCTCAATAATGTTCCTATCTAGAAAAGGGGGGCCCTACAGAGAAAGTTTGGGAACCACTGACCTAAACAATGAGAACAGGAAATGGTTAAATGTCATATGTGGTGGCACCAGTTTCGCCATGACAGCTCACATCAACATGTAGCCTCACATCCAGTTACATAGCATAGCTTTCTTGGGCTTCGTTCCTCTTTGTTCTGGAACCTTCTACCCCTATCAGCCCGCTCGGCAGAGGCAGACCCCGAGCCCCCATCATGGAAAGTGTTTCTTTTCACGCCACATAACATCTGCCACGGCCACTTTGTTGGCGGTTCCCATCCTTTGATGTCGTCTCGTCGAGCATCACGGTGCCGGCCCCTTTCTTCTTCAAATCCATCACCATGTTTGGTGGTCTCTAATGTGCCCCCATGCCATCCTCTGCCCCTCCCTTTGTCTCCAAGTGACAGATTTCTTTCTGTGTGAAATTTCATCTGGACGGTTGGTAGATAGAGGTGTTTGCTCCTATATGAACAGGAAGTGTAATAGGTTGAGATGCATCATGTTCCCAAGGTCCATGCAGTAATCTATGGTAATCCCGTAAAGTAAGCTAATCAGTAAACATGCAGCTTTATGAATGGGTGTAACAATAATGTCAAAATAGCAGGTGAGTTTGACAGTTAAGTTGTAAAGATGTCTATAAAAAATAAAAACCACACAGTGAAAGACCTTGTAAAATTGAAGACAGCACGGAACATGTCATGTGGAGTTAATTTTAATAAGATTTATTTGATGTGTGTGTATGTCATTACATGTTTCTTGGGATGTGAGACACGCTTGGATGCACCTGATGAGCCTTGTTACTTCTGGAATGTTCTGTAGCCTCAGCCAGCAGGGAGTCCCCATGTGTTTCACTTGTCCTGGTGAGCAGGGGGCTTGTGAGACTCACAGCTATGATACAGCGGATCAGATATGCATGTCTAATGAGTGGTGCTCATCTAGGAATTTACTCATTTTTTTGTGACTTTAGCTAAATGTAACAGAATCGGTATCAGAAAGATTTTTATTGGCCATGTATATTAAACATACAAGGGATTTGTCATGGTAGGTGTGCCCTGGTATCATGGGCGTAAATTACGGGGGGGATGGGGGGGGTTGTAGCCCCCCCAATAAATCAAAACCAGCTAATACGTTCCCCCAAATAACCATGTTTCCCTCGTAATGGGTGGAGACCTCAAACCCCCCAATATTCCACCCAAAGTTATGCCCTTGCCTGGTATAACATACAATTTCAAGACTATGTTCAGTCAAGTCAAGGCAGGGCTTATGCACAGCCTAACCTGGGCTACACCCCAGGGCCCTGAGTTGTTGGGGGGTGTCAATTTTTTTCGGCTGTTAGAGCAGTATTTTATGCTGTAGTTAGGGCCCCAACAAAGACAGCCCCCACCCCCATAAATTTGGCCCTGACCCCAATGTATAACCTCATTCATCCTAATCCACTGGTACCCAGAGCATCTCTGCTCTTGTCACTGTTTTGCCATGTTCCCCTCTCTGTGTGCTTTGCTGGTTTTTCCTTCACCTGATATCTGTTGCCGTGTTTGTGCACACGCATGTACACGTGTCAGCCCGTCTCCTCCCCCCCCCCCAGAAAGAGAAGAAGGCCGGGGGCCTCCTGAAGCTCCTCTCCGGAGCGGCGGCAAAGAAGAAGTCACGCTCCCCTCCCTCGGTGTCCCCGACACACGATCCGCCCTCCCAGGCCGCGGGGGAGGTGCTGCCCCCGCAGGGTGCCGTGGGCCCAGGCCTGTACGCCAGCCACACCCCTGGCCACTCCCCCGGACACGGGCGCGCCGGCTCCTGCCCCATCGAGAGCGAGATGCAGGGCGCCATGGGCATGGAACCACTGCACAGGAAGTCGGGCTCCCTGGACCTCAACTTCTCAGTGTCGCCTCCCAGCCGGCAGCCCTGCGCCGCTCTGCTGGCCCTGCGGCCCGAGCCCAAGCCTTTGTCCCGAGAGAGGTAGGTCCTGGCACCTGTGACCACACACCACACACTGCTGACCACACACCACACACTGCTGACCACGCACCACACACTGCTGACCACGCACCACACACTGCTGACCACGCACCACACACTGCTGACCACACACCACACACTGCTGACCACGCACCACTGACCACACAGCACACACTGCTGACCACACACCACTGACCACACACCACACACTGCTGACCACACACCACACACTGCTGACCACGCACCAACGACCACACAGCACACACTGCTGACCACACACCACACACTGCTGACCATGCACCACTGACCACACACCACTGACCACACACCACTGACCACACACCACACACTGCTGACCACACACCACACACTGCTGACCACACACCAATGACCACACACTGCTGACCACACACCAATGACCACACACCACACACTGCTGACCACACACCACACACTGCTGACCACACACCAATGACCACACACTGCTGACCACACACCAATGACCACGCACCACTGACCACACACCACACACTGCTGACCACACACCACACACTGCTGACTGCACGCCATACACCACTGGCTCCATGCTACACTTTGCTGACTGCACACACCGCTGACCACACACCACTGATCACATGATGCTCACCGCTCACCACACACCGTTTGCCACAATCCACTGACTGCATGCCACATGCAGTTGACCAAGCACTGCTGACCATGTGCCGTTGACCACATATCACTGACTGCACACTGCTGACTACTGACCACACATTGCTGACCGCACTCGGACATTTGGTCCCCACAGTGTAATATAATCCACACACACACACACACTGCTGCTGTTTGCTTTCTCCCCGTGTGTCACTAATGACCAACATTTGCACTTGGGTCCTGCTGAATCATTAAGATGGCTAGAGTTTAATTCTTTTCTGTTGTCACTGTCACCTTCTGTGGCATCTCTTCAGAGTCATCACCTTTTCCCTGCCACTTTATCTCCCCAAAGCACAGCCCAGCGACAGGCAGGTACAAGCTAGCGCTCAGATTGCTTCTTGACGATGTAATGGGTCAGGTTCTGATCCCCCCCCCCCCCCCCAGCTCTCTACAGCACTGGGGGGTGATGACAAGCTTTCAGCACTCAGCCCTCACGTTACAGGCAAAGGTGACCTTTACGAGCAAAAGGTTGGACCTTCCTCCGTAAAGGAACATCCATCAATGAGGAACCCAAGCGTTCTCTGGAGCATGGAATGCCTAATGGATTGTCATGGAAACCACCCAATTTTACAGGAAAGCTCACTGCAGTTAAACGGGCCCACGTCTGTGTTTCTAAGGCCTGTTACTGTTCTAACAAATGGTCAGTAGAAAGTCTTTGCTTCAGCGTTAATATCTACGCTCTTCAATGCAAGTGAAAAAGTCAACGAGGCATTTGAATAGTCATACATTATGTATCCTTTGACCGAGTCGCTGCTATAGATCTCCCATTCAGCACCGGGGCCCAAATGAGTCATGGCGGCGATGAAAAATCATCTATTGATTTTCTCCTTTCTGAGAGCAGCAAGCTGGATGTAGCCAGAATAGCATGGTGATCATCTAGCAGCGATTTTGCTCAATCAGCCAGAGGGCCATTCATTGGTGATTACAGCCTATTTCTTCATGGGTAGATCAATGCAGTCCCTCTCCGCATGCTGTAGACATTTAGGTTTGTATCCAATATACTACAGCGTGTTCAAGGCGGTGTTGGCAGGTAACACCAAATGGCCCCCCTGGGAACTGGGTGCAGGATGTGAAGCCTGATAAATTGAGGGTTTGAGGGACGCCTGTGTAGGTCAGGACTCATCCACTCCATTGAGGATCCTGCAAAGACAGAAGTAAGACAGTCTCCTTTGTCCTCGCTTGCTGTGACAGACGGGGGGCCAGAGGGGTCGTACAGCATAGTCACGCCTCCTCTATCTGAAAGTGTCCAAAAATGTAGTGCTGTGTGACATTTTATATTACATTCTTACGTTTTAGTCCTTTAAAAGACGCTTTTACCCAAAGTGATGTGTAATTGTGGAAGCAGGGTCAGTCAGTCCCTAGAGCGATTGAAGGTTAGGGGCCTTGGCAAAATTGCTCTGTCAGCCACAGGAGTTAAACTGGCGACATTCCGATCACAGGGACAGCATCATAGCCCCCTGAGCCACACACCATCCCACTTTCATTCCCCCTCCATATGGGGCTGAGGGGAGGGATCCATCCACTCAGTGCTAATATGCAGCGTGGGGATTAAGACGTGCAGCTAGCCAGAGGCAGAGTACAGCACCACACCCGCCCGTGCACCCGTGATTATTTCAAAGTTAAATCCGCACCCGCCCGGGCCCGTTAACATTCCGCCCGTTACCCGCCCGTACCCGTGATAAATTACACACAATTATTTTTTCTATGCATCTCTCAACGTGACAAGCGCTAGGCCTACATGAATTTTGAATTGAAACGAAAAAGTCCGTTTAACACAAAGTCAAATCAGATAGATCTAAGCTATCCATACTGTGAAGAGCGTGAAAGAGAGAACACGACGACACGCTTCAGCAAGGATTCAGACGTGTATGTGAATGTTTGTCGAGGCCGTTATCTAATGGTGCGTTCGTTTTTCTCTCGGAACTTGGAAATTCCGAGTTGAGTGACATCACGTCCGACAATCTCCCGTACGAGCTACCACATCTCGGAACAAACATGGCTGCCTCCATGAACACGCTGCTGTGTGTTGTTGCTTTATATTTTAGCAGATTTGGAGTGAGATTATTTTTCCGAGAGACAAACAAACAAGAAACACGAACTAGTCAAACCACATAACATAGAGTACCGCAGGGTTCAATTTTAGGACCACTATTGTTCCTCATTTACATTAATGATATTGACACCATTACATACAGTAAACTGGTTAAATTGGCAGACGACACCAAGGTGGGTGGTGTAGCAGATACTGATCTAGCAGCAGAGAGGCTACAATGGGATCTGGATTTAATTAGCGACTTGGCTGATACTTGGCAGATGAAATTTAACACAGATAAATGTAAGGTAATCCATGCAGGGAGCAGAAATATAAAGTACAGATATTTTATGGGTTCCACTGAAATAAAGGTAGCTGATTACGAGAAAGATCTAGGTATGTATGTTGATGCTTCCATGTCCCACTCTCGCCAGTGTGGGGAAGCAATAAAAAAGGCCAATAGAATGTTGGGTTATATCTCTAGGTGTGTGGAGTTTAAGTCAAGGGAGGTGATGTTACACTTATATAATTCCTTGGTAAGACCCCACCTAGAATATTGTGTGCAGGTTTGGTCACCATACCTTAAGAAGGACATTGCTGCCTTAGAAAAGGTGCAACGGAGGGCTACGAGAATGATTCCTGGTCTTAGAGGAATGTCTTATGAGGAGAGGTTAGCTGAGCTGAATCTGTTTAGCCTTGAGCAAAGGAGACTAAGGGGGGACATGATCCAGGTCTATAAAATTCTAACGGGTCTGGATGCTGTTCAGCCAAATGGCTATTTCAATATTAAATACTAGAACTCGTGGCCATAAGTGGAAATTAGCGGGAGAACATTTTAAAACAAATTTGAGGAAGCACTTCTTTACACAGCATGCATAATATGGAATAGTCTTCCTGCTAGTGTAGCGGAAGCTAAAACCCTGGGTTCCTTTAAATCAGAGCTAGATAAGATTTTAACAACTCTGAGCTATTAGTTAAGTTCTCCCCAAACGAGCTTGATGGGCTGAATGGCCCCCTCTCGTTTGTAAATTTCTTATGTTCTTATTAAAAGTTTTATAAAATATTTTAGCACATTCATAGCAATATTCTTTTTTCGAGAGGCAAACAAACTACAAACAAACGAAAGACACTAACAAGTCTGGTAAAAATCTGAAATATGGCATAATAGGATACTGTTTACGGTCATGGTATTGTATTCTCTAAATCGAACACGTGCAGTTAAATTTATAACTATTAATACATTTAACAAAAACATTTTTAAAGATTTCTAAAATACGATTACTGTTGAGTGTGTAAGCCGCCCTGTTGAAATTACGTCACAGGGGCAACTCGGACAACAAAATCTTGTCTGACATCAACGTCATAAAAGAGGCGTTGTTTCCGACAGGAAGTGACGTTTTTCGTGACGTTTTCATCCGAGTTCCAACTTGGAGAGAAATAATCGAAAGCACCATAAGGTACCCCTGACATACTGAACACACTGTGATGATGACAATTTGTACATGATAGTCTAATTCATAGATATTTTCGCGTATATGTTATTTTTGCAGGCTACAATACTGTTTTGTGTAATGAATTACCCGCCCGTAAAATTCCAGAACATTAAAATCCGCCTGTTTCAGCAACTATCTGCGGGTACCCGACTCGGTGCAGGACTCTGGCCAGAGGTTATCTGTGGATTTGCATTTGCCTGAAATGTTAATGATTCCTGTCCTTCCTCGCCTGATCTTGGACCCTTTGCTCACAGGTTCCGCGTGGTGGTGCCCTACCCCCCCCAGAGCGAGGCGGAGATCGAGCTGAAGGAGGGAGACATCGTCTTCGTGCACAAGAAGCGGGAGGACGGCTGGTTCAAAGGCACCCTGCAGCGGACGGGCCGCACTGGGCTCTTCCCCGGCAGCTTTGTGGAGAGCTTCTGAGGGTCTCTCCGCATTCTTCTGGCGATTCAGCAACAATAAGAGTGCTCATGGTGGGGGGGTGGAGGTGACTTTAGTCGGTACTACCCCCGTGAGATTTCCCGGGTCTCCCAGAAAGGGCAGCACAACCACATGATGGGGTGAAGACTGGATAATGGAAGGAGAAATGGAGGCCTGTCATGACCCTCTCTGCAAGCAGACAGCACAGCAGACTCTATTTATCACAGACTCGAGCTGCTCTTGGGGGTGGGGGCTTCCAGAACCTTCTCCCCTCACTAGCACCACCTTCCGCCCCTTGGACCTGCCAGCACTGGTGTTCCTCCTCTTTACTACTGTCACTAAGTTGCTGTCCAGGAGCTGCTGTGGACTCTATGTGTCCCCCTGGTGGCAGAGCTGCAGTCTGCAGGAGCCTGACAGCACATGGCCAGCATCTGGGGTTGACGTAGGAGGCCCCTGGCCGCAAAGAAGAGCCCCACAGCCGCACAGGCAATACAGAGCACTACAGAGTGTCACAGGATGTTTGTACAACCATCTCTGTAAGTGTGTGGCCGAAGCCACAATGTCATAAGACACCATGTTTTACAGCTATAAATAGTAGTTTTTATTGTGAGCATTTCCATGTACAGTTTGTTTCGAGAAGACGATCATCTTTTTGCTAATCTTTTCACGAAAGAGTGTTTTAAGGAGCCCTGCTGTGAAAACACCTGAGTGTGTTTAGCGCCTCCTTGATTTCCAGATGGTTCTTCTGACAGAGAGACCGGTCACTGTGGGCTGAGCCCCTTGTCAGAAGGTGTGAACCATCATTTACGACAAACGTTTTAACCATGGAAGCAGCCGGTACTCAAAGCACAGCGTTACTATTCTCAGGCAGACAGGTGCCCGGTGCGGGAGAGAGCAGCACAGGTGTTTAAAGTGGCCTCATCACATGGTGTGGCACCGGGAAAGCCCAGCTGAGTGTGCTCTGTAAGTCACATGGTCTAATGATGGCACCATGTCAATCTCGGAACTGTGTTCTGCTTCACACTATTTATCCATCTGTGTTCTAGGAGTGATTATAGGGTTTTGTTAAGGTGAGGGGCATAAGAAGGGTCATAATTCATTGAGAAGGATCAACCTTACCATTAACGAATGGCATGTTTTAAGTCTGTGACAGGGGAGGGGCAATCCAGGGGCCAATCAGCTGTCAGCTGAGGCCAGTGTCCCTGTGGCCCCACCCCTGTATACACCCTGCTGTCTCCTGTGCTAAAGAATACAGTGTAAAATGGGAATTTTGCAGAATTTTAGTTTTATTAACATGTAATCATGTTGGATTAGTAATTTCATCCATCAGACTCACAAGTCTAAAAAAACATATCATTCTCATGGGGTCCGTCCTCAGCTAATGAAATGTGAGACATGTTGGCAAAACTTCTCCAGCACTCACCAGTATCACTGTGATCGGGCACCTTCTCTGAGGTGAAGCCTCTTAGCCCCACCGTAAATGATCTTTGTCAGTCTTATAAGTGGATCTGGACGTGTGCCGTCCTGCATTGGACTGAGTATGTCTGGCATGGGAGCCAGGCTGCACGCACGGAGCAGCAGTGGACAGTGTGTGGCTCCGCAGGTTAGAACACTGTGCATATGACCAGAAGGTGGCCAGTTCAAACCCCAGGATCAGCATAGTGATTTCATAGTTGGGCCTCTAAGCAAGACTCTTAACCCCAGTTGTTTCTGGGACTGTCTGCCCTGGTTTTCGCAAAAAATGTATGTTGCCTTGGCTAAAAGTGTCTGATAGATAAAAACGTAAATATGTTGGGGCAGAATCACAGGTGTTTCCTGAAGGCTTAAAGGTGATTTCACATCTCCAAGTTGCCTTGCTCTGACCTGTCACATCCCTCTGCTCCTGACAGCAGGGGGCAGCACACATCAAGTGGACACTGTAGGGCAAGTATGAAGCACAGGGAGTCCTAGAAACTAGGGCTCCTTTAAGACTTTTCCTCAGACACGTTCACACACCAGCACACATAGCGATGAGAGTGCAGGCTTAGGTTTTCTCCCAGTGGAGGTAAAGCACAAGGTCGCCTCTGATGGCAGATACATAGAGGGCATTGCAGCTGTTGATCTTATTGTTCTTGACATTCCCATGGATGCCCTCAGCCTGGTTGACGCTGCGCACAGGAAGCGTTGTGTCTGCCAGTGAGGACCATTCCAAAATGTGATGTTCAGCAACTGGAGTGTTTGCCAGATCGTCGGTGAACCTTTAACACTGCTGAAAAGAAATCGCTCTGAATAAAGGTGAAGGTTGCCAAAGCTGTGTGGGTATGTTCCCTCCGCATTCATGATTCCCAGGCTGCCTCATTGTCATGTCAACACTGTCTTGTGGTAGTGAGCTGTGACGTGTTTTCTTTTCCAGTCAAGTGCATTTGAGAAATAAATGCCATTATTTAAAAGTGCTGCCGTCTGTGTCGTTATATGCCTGTGGGTGTGTGTGACACCTCACCCGCTGAGGTTCACACTGCAACATGAGACTAAGAATCTAATCAGCCCAGAGGTCTCTTCTCTATGAAAGCTGCCATTTTATGACCCATTTATGTGTCACATGGTAGACTATCACCAATATGGCAGGACTGCATCAAGATAAATTTATTGATCTCTGTTAGTGATCAGTAGAGGGATTTGGCCAATAACAATAGATTCCGTATAAGTAAAAACAGACAATATAAAGGGGAAAAGGAACAAATCGTGAACAAATTTAATGAGAAATTTTGCAAATAATGCACCACTATGGTAAGTACAGTGCAAATGGCTAATGGACATTAATGCCAGAATATTAGTAGTGTTAGAAGAGGCAGCATTGTAGAGTCACATGGCAGTGGGTAAAATAGCATCGGAAGTGTTTTGTTTTGCATGTGTCTGTGACTGAAAGTGCTCCTCTATTCTGTGATATCAGTACTGAGGGGGTGCATTTTATTATCCATTATGAAGAGCAGTCACATCTCTCCACCACTGCTTCAGTACAGCCTTACTGCAGCTGGTCAGCATTACTTACACCACTAACAGACAGTAGCAGTGAGACACTGGCAGCACTGGATGATGGAATGTTTGTTTACTGCACACCCCAGGAATTGTGAGATACCTCAGAATGAAAAGCCTGCTTTGCCCTTTCCTGTAGAGAGCCTCTGCATTGTCACTCCACTCCAGTCTGTCATTGCCCCAAGGTACCTGTGACAGTGACCTGTTTCCACGTGGTCCCTGTAAATTTTGACAGCCGTATGTAGTGCTCTGAGGTGAATTTGGTGGCAAAATTAAGATTCCTGTAATTCATACTGAAATTAGAGCTCATGTTTTCACTCATAGTTGCAAGAGAGTCATGTATGTCAACAGAAGGAGTGAGGCCTTCAACTGTGAAGTGGTCTCTGTAATGTAATGGTTCCTAAAAATGAAAGCAGCTAAAGCAATAAGCTCAGCGCAGCCAATGAACAGTCAGTTCCAAAATATACTACCATTACAATTAAGTTCCTTCAGTTACTACAATTCCAATACTCCATTACCCTTCTATACAAGTACATTCCCATATTGCACTAACCTTAAATACTCCAGAGTGTTTAACATCTCTTCAGATGAGGCCAGAGTTGCAGCAAAAGCACCATCAGTAACTTTCTTCAAGATATTTCATTTATCTGCCACTTTAGGCGCTTTTCCACCGCACCAGGTACCGTACTTTCGGTACTTCCATAAAGTACCAAAAGTATGGTACTTCTTTTGTGTCGGTTTTCCACTGGCGTAAAAACTGGTACCGACGCCAAATGACATCATCAGTGATCGCCCATGACTGACATCATCACAAAGCGTGACGTGGTATTTCTTTCGCTGAATTCAAACATGTTATTATGATCTTTCACTTTCCTGTAGTCCTGCTTAAGTTTTCAATTTTCAAGCGGCATTGTTCGGTGTTTCGCGTGTGCCCCATTTCTTCCATGCGGCTTGCTATTACGGCAAATACTTTTTTATTCCCGCTGGATCTGTTCATCCGACCATTTGGCGATTAAAGCCTATGTCTCCTCGTTTGTCCATCCTTCCGTTTTACTTTTTTATATTTTTGTTTCTACTGCTTTTTATTTAGTTTCTCGCTGTTCGCTGTGTGTATTTTGTATTTCAGTGGCAGGCTATTTGCATAACCAATCGACAGCAAGTATGTTTGTAAGTCCCACCCCAAAGTACCAAAGAAATATCCCAGCTGGTTTGGCACTTTCGGTACTGATACTCGACCGGAAGTCAATGGAAAAGCGAAAGTATCGTACCAAAAGTACCGTACTTTGTGCAGTGGAAAAGCACCCTTTTATTCAAGGCAACTAAGAACATACAGAAGGGTTACAATTTATGTGGTCACCCAGGGATTCAAACCCACAACCGTTGCATTACTAGCACAATTCTGTACCGATTGAGCTACAGGAGCTCATATCCAAGGCCCCTCTCAATTGCATTGATATCTTGACCAATTCCTCCAGTCTATCAAATGCCTCAAACTGCCATTTATACCCATCTTCCAGGTAGACTGCAACAGAAAGGGACACTCAGACACTGCACCTGATCTCACATCACTATCGATGAAATTCCACTCCCTGACCTCACTTCAATGTATCCACTGCCATCAGCACTAAAGCCTGGGCCCTCTGCCACAGAAAACACTGAGAAGGACCCGTTTTGAGGAAACTGCAAGTGATCCAGTGTCACAAGGAACATTACACTTTTGGGATACAGATTAAATTTATTGGCCCCAGGGGGAAAATTGCTTCCATACAGCAAAAATGAAACAAAGTGCAGAAGCAAAGAGCTAACACATTATTTGCTATTATTCAAAGTAAATCTTCTAGTAAAAAAAAAAAAAAAAGTCCCTGGAGCAATTTCACTTTCTTCCTAAGGTCCCACCTACAAATACAAACACCGACATTCAGATTAAGCCAACACTGCCCTCACAGCTGAAGTTGCCCTCACTGCCCTCACTCCAGTGAGAAGCAAATCAGACCCAGCAGATCCCTTATCTTAGAACAGTCTCCTCTGGGTTTGAACTTAGAAGCCTGACCACAGGATACTGTAGGGATCAGAATCATAGGGACTGTTGGCTTCGTTTCAGACCCAAAGGAGTCATGAGCTCTCAGTTCTGCCCGACTGTCTGAAGCTGACCGGTGGCAGGGCCTGCCAGCTAGAACACAACCAAAACTGGCCCAGCACAAATCAATACACTGTGGCATCTGGAGACTAGACATGATGAGGAACTATAGAGCAGAGGACTGCTTTTTACAGCCAGGGTCTGAAATTAAACCAGTGGAGGAAACTGACTTAAGTACCTGCAGAATTGGATGACTATAGCCGTCTATGTCTGAACAACAAGTCATGTTTAGGCACTTAATCACACTCAACAACCCAGCACACACGTTATCTTACCCACACACACATGCACGCACGCACGCACGCACGCACACACACACACACACAGGTTTGTAGTTATATGTTTGTGGGGACTCTCCATTTCTATGGGGAAAACTCTAATCCCAATATAACGACCTTAACACCTACCCCTTTTACCATAAGTAACCAAAGTAAATATGAGTCCTTTGCATGGGCGTAAATTATAGGGGGGATGGGGGGGTTGTAGCCCCCCAAATAAATCAAAACCAGCTAATACAACCCCTCCAATAATCATGTTTCCTCCGTAATAGGTGGAGAGCACAACCCCCCCAATGTTCCAGCCAAAGTTACACTCTTGGTCCTTTGGAATTTTTACTTTTTTGATTGCATTCATAGATCTTTATGGGGACCTGACAAACAGTCCCCACTGTGTCACAATAACAGGTGTAAATAAAAACCTGAAAGGTTTATTATTTTAGTTGAATTACCTGTTTGATTTTCCAGAGCTATTTTTTTTTTTAATTGTCTAAAATGTTCTCCTATTAGTTGACTGTGAAGTACAGAAGCCTTAAGCCAGGGGTGGCCAATCATATCCGCAAAGGGCCAGTGTGTATGCGGGTTTTTGGGATAACCTGTAGGTCAGCTGTTCAAACCCATGTGTGAGGACTCTTCAGCCAATCAGTCCTCTAATTAGTAATCTAATTAGGGAGCTGCAGCGAAAACCCGCACATTCAGCGGCCCTTTGAGGATAAGACTGGCCACCCCTGCCTTAAGCCGTCCTATGCACTGAGGTAGAAAGGGGAGCTTTTATTTTGATAAAGGTCAACGGCAGTTCTTTTATTTTTTCTCTGCGCATGCCTGTGGAATCGTCAGTAAAGCTACAGGTACTGCGCTCATCAGAAACAGTGGTCACGTAGCCTACGACTAATGTTTATCAGTTAATGGACCCGTAATGAGGCACAAGCTCTTACGGTGGTTGTAGCTTATATGTTTATGCTAAGTATACTATGTTGAAAGTAGAAAATAAAACTGTAAACTACACCAGCAGTCAAGATCATTGCCATCGCATATTACTAATTTACGGGGATCCATACAACAGGTATTTATCACATTGTGGGGGACATTTGGTCTAAGTAATGTAATATAAACATAATCCCCACACATACACCATCAAGGGTCCCAGCTGCTTCTAGAGAATTAGGCTAGATCAGTGGTTCTCAATCCTGCTCTTGGCGCCCCACCTGCCAGAATGTTTTCGTTCCAACCCTACCTTAATCAGGCTTATACGGTCTAAAGCCGGTTTCAAACCGAATGCAGCATACACCACGCTGCGCTCCGTGCCACGTGCCGCGCGCCGCTCGGGGAGCTCGCGCGAGCACTGTAGTCAAAGATGAACTTTGTTGAACTTTGACCGCTGCGCGCTGTGACGCATTGTCTCGCGATCAATAGAAACCGGGCACAGAAAACGAAATGGAGGAAAAACTTATATTGTCCGTGTCTGAGTTCCCAGAGCTATATCACACAAGCGTAGAATCTTTTTTAATGTGAAATATGCATCGTCACTACTGACCGCGAGCCAAAATGACAGGAGAGAGTTTTGAAAACCACGCCTACTCTTTTCGCAGAAGCATCTAGGCGAGCACAGCGCATGCCGCGTTCGGTCTGTAACCAGCTTTAGCCTGTTAAGGACCATATAAGCCTGATTAAGGTAGGGTTGGAATGAAAACATTCTGGCAGGTGGTGCGCCAGGAACAGGATTGAGAACCACTGGGTTAGATGCATGATTCGGAGGCAATCCTCTTACTGTGCTTACAAATTATACTATATTCATCCCAAGTGGTTAAAGCCGAGGCACAGATAACGTAATAGTACACTCTTACTTAATGTATTAATTAACCAGAAACAAAGTGTTTGTTACATACTGATTCCATGTTTGTTCATCATTAATAAATCATGATGGTTCATGTATTTCTTCCAGTTACTGTATTTGTTTATGATTTGTACTTGAGTAGTAACTGGGTTGCTAAGTTACTTGTGCCCCTTC